ATTCTATTACTCGAAGGCAGAAACATAATTTTAGACCTTTAGATATGTGTTATAGCTGAAAGCCTACAATATTTTAAAAAGTCAAATATACTAATGTTTAATCGGTTTGCAATTTGCAAACCTGGACTTTTTCCATGGTTTCCCTCAGCTCTTTTCAAATTGCAAAGCCTGACATTCAGTCCAATTCATGTGTACAGTTTGTGACCTTGACACAAATTCTTTTACTGCACCTCTGATGGCAACATGAAGCTCAGTTCATTGAATGGCTGTTCCAAAAGGCAGCTTTTTCCAAGAATATGCGATGCTGGCATGGTAGTTTTTCATGCACTCTGGAAGGAATAAGTGATGAGAGACAATTGCACATGGCTTTGCATGGCCCCTGCAATATGTTGAAAGAAGATGTAGTAGAAGCACAGGGCCACATGAGTTAGTTCTGCCCTCATGCTAGCAGAACACCTGGCTCTCCTTGGTTTTTATGTCTGGACCATATCAGAAAGATTGCTATAGATACACCAGTGTACATATATGGAGCTCTGCTATGTCAAAGGAAACCCCTCCATACTTGCAAAGGAGTTCTAAGTTTGTACTATATATGGTGGTATATATTGGTAGGTATATATGGCCCTTTCTGTTGCAACAGTGTGTGTATTGGGCATAGCAGGGATATGGAGCCGCTCCACACAGTTCTTTAGTATTTATTGCAAATTCTTTGTAGAAGGCTTTGCCTCAATCCATATGTTGACACCAGAAGCATAGACCAGTCACCCCTGGAGAGCTCAAAAAAAATTATCCTTTGGTTCACAACACTCCAGTGGCCCTAATGTTTGGTGGAATTCTGAGAACTGTGGTCAAGAAACCTGATTTCTCTAATCTCTCAATTTGAGACATGGTGTTTTAGACCTGCTCCATATAGTTAGGATGGATTGATTTCATAATAGCAGCAAACTTGCCATGTGGACCTGTGTGGGATCTAAGTATGGCAGTGTTACACAGAATTGAAAGCTTGACTTCTTCTGTGGTAGTTGCTCTGTTCTTCAATAGGCTCTCTGCGGTGACTTGAAAAGTAGCTAAAGATTTCCATGTTTCATCCAGTGAAGGCCATTTGTTATTAGGCAAACTATATTAAGTAGCTCAGCTGTTGCTGTGTAATGCCTTTCTAAAACAACCAATATTTTGGTAATAGCTTTTACCTTTAATCATCCACAGCCCGTGTCTTGCATTCATATTTGCACCCTTTTACACACTCCCTTTAAAGTTTTAGAACCAAAGAATCCAAGACCAGTTCAGCTGCTATAGATCAGGTGAGTTAGCATATGTGGCAAAAAGTTAAATAGTTTTCAGTGACGTAAAACACATTGCATGTTACTGTTAGCATAGAGGTGAGCTTTTTCCAATGGTGTGGGGTTTTTTTGAGAGAGGGAGAGAGGGAGGGAGAGAGGAAGGATTGGTTACTTATATAAGGGCAAAAAGTAAGGTCGTAAAGGAAATCAAATCCTGATGTGGATAAATGAAACATGAAGCCTACTGACTTTCTAAAAACATTTTAAATAATATTCACTAAGGTTTCATTTTATACTGAAGGCGATTGTAATATGTTTTGGAAGATGGTGTAAGGTTTCCATTAAAGGGAGATCATGCTTGCTGTTTCTTGTACCCTAAAGAGAGGTAGGTGAGATGAAGTTAGAGCTTATTTAGTGAAAGGCTGGAAATTTTATAAGTTTTCTGCAGGATTATAAAAATAGTAACTTATACCTTAAACCACAATTTGCATGTTATATTCATTTTTAATTCATGCCAGTGCTGCCTCTGACAGAGCAGCGCACACAGAGTAGCTCTAGTTGTGAATCGTAACAAGGTAACAAATATGATGGAGTTGCACTTCCTCCATTCATCCGTAATGTTTATTTTGAAGTGTCTGGAGGTAGAGTAGGTGCTTAAGCTCCTATGCCTTCCTGACACACACACAGTCCATGTGGTGCAGATTATTAGAATTAGGGGGGAAGGGTTAATTCGCAGATCATGGTGCATCCTTCTGATTGATTGAGAACAATGCAAGGAGGGGAAAGTATGTAAAGTTATAGGGCAATGCACATACTTACCAGCTTACAGAATCATATCAATTGCCATACACTGGCGAAATGTATGAAACCTAACATTATTTTTTTAAAAATGGATTATGCTGAAACATAATCTGGAACTGTATTATTTATAATAAAAGAGAGGGAAAATAGTAATGTTTATTTTGCTATTTAATATCTATATGAGGCCACTGGGTGAGGTCATCCGGAGTTGTGGGGCTCAGTGCCATCAGTACGCTGATGACACCCAGCTCTACATCACCTTTTCTCCAACTGCAGTTGATGCTGTTCTGTCCCTTGAATGCTGGTTGTAGAACGTTCTGGAGTGGATGAGAGCAAATGGACTGAGGTTGAATCGGGACAAGATGGAAATAATGCATGTGGGCGGCCCTGGCATCAGTGGGTTGGGAAACTCCCTTTCCTTTGGGGGAGTGACTCTCCCCACGAAGAGAGAGAGATCTGTCTGGACCCAGATCTCACCATGGAAACTCAGGTGACATCTGTGGTCCGGGCAGCCCATTTCCATCTTTGGAGCATTGCCCAGTTGCATCCCTATCTAGATGCGGGGGCACTCACGGCTTTGATTCATGCACTTGCAATCTCAAGAATAGACTACTGGAGTGCTCTGTACGTGGGGCTCCCCTTGAGGCTAATGTGGAGACTACAACTGGTTTAGAATTCAGGGGCCAGATTAGTAACTGGGGTGAAGAAATTTCAGCACATCTCCCCATTCTGGATGCCCTTCATTGGCTACTGGTTCGTTTCCGCATCGACTTCAAGGTTATGATGATAACATTCAAAGCCCTAAATGGTTTAGGATCTTGGTACCTAGCAGAACGCCTGCTCCCAGCCAGATTGGTCCGTAATACACGTTCTTCACAGGCAGGGCGGCTGAGGGCCTTGACCCCAAAGGAGGCCTGGAGGTAAAGAACAAGAAGCAGGGCCTTCTCAGCGGTCACCCCCCACACACACCTATAGAACAATATGCCCATGGAGATATGCCTGGTACCCTCATTGAATGGGTTTAAACGAGCATTGAAAATGTGGCTCTTCTGTCAGGATTTCCCTGAGCATTAAGTTGCTGATATCTCTGCTTCTCTTTTATAATACCTTTGCCATCCTTTCATCATCCTTTCTACCATCGTTATAGGCATCTGTTTTAATTTATCCTACTAGTTATTGTATCTGTTGAATGTTTGTATTATCGTAATTTTATTGTGTTTTAATATTATGTCATTTGTCTTGTTGTTAGCTGCCCAGAGTGGCCTGGCTCTCAGATGGTGCGGGGTATAAATCAAATAAATAATATACAAATGTAGCCAATAAACTAGTTGTATATTCTTTCAAATGCTTATTTTGAGAATATATCAAGAAATACAGTATTGCATCCCCGGATGATGGGACTGAACAATCCCTCCCATTTACATCAGGTACTAAATGGTGTAAAAACCCAAATCACGAAATGGAATCCCGAGTTGTGACCTTTGGAAAGTTGTGTGTTCTGGATCAAGGATATAACAAAGTAATAATAGGAATTGTTTTTCCTTGGAAGAAGGCTGTTTGGAGAATGTTAGAAAGGACATTCTGAGCAGGCAGCTGCTCTTCTGCTGCAGCTTGTCTTCTGAAAGCATCAACCCAAATTTGGGAATGTCAAGTGCCACAGAGACGGATCATCTAAGGTAGTGGTGGTGTTCAGTAGCGCTGTTGTGCACCTGTGGAAGCCTTTGGTTCAGAGCCAATTCTATCAGAGTTCCCCAGTTTCCTAGATTACAGACACCATAACACGAGTGGGGAAACAGGTGACCCTCCAGATGTTAGAAAGTAGTTCCCTTTCACCCTAGCCAGTAAAGCCAGTGGTAGGGGATTATAAGCATAGCACTCTGGCAATATTTAGAGGGCCACATGTTCCCCATCCTTGCTATAAAAGTCATTAATTTAGTCTGTCTGTTCTGCACTGAGCAGTAGCGATGATTACCAGAAGTTAACTATTAATACCAGACTGTACTTTCAGCTTTTTGCTCATGATATATATTAATTAAAGCAGATTTTAGCCTTTAATACGTATGATGTTTCTGCTTGGTTTATCTATCTTCCTTTTTAACATTTATAATGATGAATAACAAATTTTTGTAGTGTTAGTGCTGTTTTATTTGTAAAGGCATAGTTTTAGTAGCATAAGACAGGATGTCTTACTTCTCTTTATCCGAGAGTATGATAGCAACTGCAACATGTATACAGTATAGGCTTTGAATTGGATTATTTGTTTTGTGAGTCCTTGTAATTTTTTTTTATTTTTTTATTTTTATTTTTTTTTGGTGGAGGAATCTGCTTTGACGTTACCTGGAATCAGTAAAGGAAGGGTAAAAGCCAAGCTCTCTCACTTTTTAATAAGGGCAACAGTGGGGAACGTTTTTTGATCTTGTAGTCGTTCCCCCAAATCTGTGAGCATTTCTAGGGACTGCAAAAATCACTGAGAGAAACATGTGTTTCTCACCCATGAATAAGGGACAGACGTATTGAACTGGGTTGTCATATATAACACCAATAAAGGGAAAGTGTATCATTAAAAATAAATTTTAAAAAACTTAAGAAGCACTCAGTGGACTGTGCCCTAGATCTTCACTCCATATGACTTTGTACTTCACAATGTCCTCTCCCCTCCCCTTTTTAAAAGGATAAACTTCAATAGCACTTAAACTGGAGTGTTCAGGAACCTCCTTTGAAGTGCAGTTTTTGTTCTACATTTTGGTTACAGCATTATTTCAGTGGAGTCAGCCAACAGGCTTGCAGGGCTTTTTGGCTCATGTTCACTAACAGTTTTCTTGGCAGCGCTGCTTAGTTCTGTATCTTTTATACATTTCTCTCTCTCTCTCCCCCCTGCTCTTTTTTCCTCCCTCCCCCTCCATCTTTGCTTCATGACAGAACGTTCACCACACAGGCCTATCTTGCAAGCTGGGCTACCAGCGAACACCTCTGCGGTTGTTGGGGGAGATGCAGAGTTTGTGTGCAAAGTCTACAGTGATGCCCAGCCTCATATCCAGTGGATAAAGCATGTTGAAAGGAATGGAAGTAAATATGGCCCAGATGGACTACCCTATCTGGAAGTTTTAAAG